TTCCTGCTCCTATGATGCTGCTTGGCCTGCTGTGTTCATCCAGCTCTACACCTTGTTATCTCAGATTCTCCAGCATCTGCAGTTCCTACTATCTCCAGGTAGACATCAACTGTTTTTCCCTCATCAATCATCTTCAACACCTCCTCCAAAACTCAATCAAGTCAGTGAGGCACGACTACCCCGGCACAAAACCATGCTGTCTATTGCTAATAAATCCATTTGATTCTACATGCTTATAGATCTTGCCCCCAGGAATCTTTCCAATAACTCCCCTACCATTGTGTTGACGCTCACAGGCCTGTGATTTCCTCGATTATCGTGGTTACCCTTTTTAAAGAATGGGACAAGATTGGCTATTCTCCAGTCCTCTTAGACCTCACCTGTGGCTGAAGAGAATACAAAGATGTCTGTCAACGATCCAGCAATTTGTTCTCTTTCCTCCATCAATATTCTGGGATAGATCCCATCAGAACCCGGGGACTTATATACCTTAATACTTTTTAAGACGCACAACACCGCTTCCTTTTTAATAGCAACTTGGCTTAGATACTCGACACTCCCTTCCTGGAGACCGTCCTCTGGTGAATACCAACACAGAGTATTCGTTTAGGACCTCACCTACTTCTTCTGGCTCCACACATACATTCCCTCCTTTGTCCCTGAGTGGGCCAACCTCTTACCTGGCTACCCTCCTGCTTTTCATATACGTATAAAAGGCCTTGAGATTCTCTTTAATCCCATTTGCTAATGACTTTTCATGACCATTTTTAACCCTTCTAATTCCTTGCTCAAGTTCTTTCCTACTTTCCTTATACAACTCAAGGGCTTCATCAGGTCCCATCCTCCTAAAACTTACATATGCTTCCTTTTACTTTTTGACCAAGGTCATAACGTCCCTGGTTATCCAAGGTTCACGTAACGTGCCATACCTACCCATAGTTCTCGCAGGAATGTGCCACTCCTGAGCTCTTATCAACTGCTGTTTGAAACACTTCCACATGTCCGATAAAGATATACCCTCAAACAGCCACCTCCAATCAATATTCTCCAATTTCTGCCTAATATTGGTGTATTTATCTTGCCCTAGTTTAACATCTTCATCCAAGGACTGCTGTTATATCTCTCCAAGACTAACTTAAAACCCATAGTATTATGGTCACTACTCCCAAAATGCTCCTCCACTGAAACTTCACTCACCTGGTCGGGCTCATTTCCCAAAACCAGGTCCACTATCACACCTTCCCTGGTTGCACTGATTACATACTGTGTCAAGAAACCCACCTGAATGCTCCTTACAGATTCTGCCCCATCCAAGCCCCTATCACGTAGTGAGTCCTAGTCAATATTGGGGAAGTTAAAATCACCCACCACCACAACCCTGTTGTTTTTACATCTTTCCAAAATCTGTCTACATATTCTCTCCTCTATCTCCCATTGGCTGTTGGGAGGCCTGTAGTTTACCCCCAGCATTGTGATTTCACTTTTCCCATCCCTGAGGTCTACCCATATTGCCTTGCTGCACAACTCCTCTGGTATATCTTCCCTCAGTACAGATGTGAGATACTCCTCTATCAGTAATGCCACTTCCCCCACCCCTTTTACATCCCTTTCTATAACACCTGAAACATTTAAATCCTTGGACATCCAGCTGCCAGTCCTGTCCCTCTTTCAGCCAAGTCTCAGTAATCACAATAATGTCATAGTTCCAAGTACTAACCAAAGCTCGAAGTTTATCTACCTTGCCTATTATACTTCTCACATTGAAACACATGCATTTCAGACCACCTCCCCTGCTCTTTTCAAAAGCATTTCCCTGCCTGTTCTTAATCATGTTTGCCCTGGTTTCTACCTCTCCCTCAATTTCTGCATCTACTGCCCAACTGCTGTGGTTCCCATCCCCCTGCCACACTATTTTAAATCCTCCCCAACAACTCTACCAAGTATCCCCCTGCAGCCCCCCCTACCCCCCCACCCCCCGCCCGCCCCAGTCCTGCCCCACCCAGGTGTAATCTGACCAGTTTGTACAGGTCCTACTTCCCCCAGAGCCGGTCCCAATGCCCCACGAATTTGAAACTGTCCCCCTCACACCATCTTTTCAGCCACATATTCATCCTATATATCCAGCTGGTTCTACTCTGACTAGCTCGTGGCACTGGTAGTAATCCTGAGATAATTACCTTTGAGGTCCTACATTTCAACTTTCTTCCTGTAAGCCTGTAAGTTCTGAATGAGCCAATAGAGCACAAAGAGGCAAGGCAAGCAGAGATGCTGTCAACATCAAGGTAGGCACTTTCCCCTTTAGAAGTTATCTATTGTTCCACTATAATATTCTGTGACAATCTTGATTAATGAAACTATACTTCAAATCCATTTTTGTACCTTCATTTTTCCAAAGATGCCAACAATATAAACAAATCGAGATAAAAATAAACAAATCATTTTTCCCCCAATACATCCGATACAACATAAACTTCTGTGAAGGAAGGACTCTCTTGAATGGAACTCAAGCCAGAGCAGCATATTCTAATTGTGCAAGTGCTGTTATTAATGGTCAAAAGTCTGGAAAACAAATCACATTATCTGTATTATACTTCCACACCAGTATCAAAACACATTATCTTGTGTGTGGATGGTTAATCATAAATGAGCGAACTAAAGAAAAAAAAGTCTGTGGTAACTTACTTTGAAATAGGGTTTACACTGGCCTCAACCACAGATAGGACCTTGCAGTTTTTGATATTTTCTGGAAATTCTTGAATTCCTGAAAGACATGTAAAATCTGCTTTATAGGCACAATCATTATGTTTACGTTACATTTTCTGGGAAAACAAAAGGCCAATTCAGTAGAACAAAATGAGAATCTATTATGGCTAGAAATAAACACCATGGATAAATATAGAATGACATTTCAGATTTCCTTCTGGAACTTTTCTTTGGTTTAGACTAAAGCGTGCTTATTAGCATTAAGAAGCATAGACATGTCTACAGGGTAATAAATCCTTCATGGCCTCTTAAACAGCAAGTCTGAATGATTATACAGCTGTAATCTTGTTCTTTCAGTCATTTATATTCGGAAAGCTGAATTCCTTTTGCTGAATTTTATGGTATAAAATGATTGGATTTTTTAAGCAAAGAAACATTGAGCTGGTGGTTTTTGCTTCAGTGATGATATTCAATGACTGAATAATTATGCCACTTGTATCTCCATAAAGCAGAAGGCTCTTATTATTTGTAGTTCCATGCAAAGTTTCATCACAGACAACAGGAATACAGATAACAATAGAAGAATCTGATATAATTCAGCAATTTTGATTTGCCGAACTATCAGAATCAACAAAAATTCATTCAAATCCCATGTTGCATTGTTGTAAATGATTCAGTATCATGCAAGTAAGAACTAAGCAATCTAAAGTGGGAATATTCAAGACTAAAATTCCCTTGCCAAATACGTATTAATTTTATCATTCAAAATGACTTCCAAAGCAATTGTGTTAAGATGTGATTGGCAAGTACATGAGTTATGGTGACAGTATATTACAAAAATAATTTCCAAGACAACAAATTCTAAGACTGTTAGTGGGACTCTGTGGGACTCAATCTGTGAATGACTTTCCAAAGTAAATGTATATCACTGGTCATGATTACCAGTTCTGGAATTTGAGCATATTCTAAGTGAGATAGATGTGAAATCATTTCCAAATTTCTATTCCACACAGCCTGTTCTCAACTCTGCCTGGCAGAAGCTAATACTACAGACAAGAAAGACAGCCTTTTTTACTCAATATCATGACTGAGATACAGTGCTACAATACAGTGATCTTTTATCCCATCAAAAAGAAAACCTTCTACAGACAGACTGTGCGCAATCCATTTCAGTTCCTCTTGATAAACTTGATAAAACCATTAATCAAAAGCTGAATTAAAACATGAGAGTTTGTTCAGCAAAGCATGCGTCTATGATTATAGATGTAGTGTTTAAAGCTCTGCCTCACCGCACCATGTGTAATGTGCATGTTGTACAACTTCTCCTAAAAATTACAGGATGAAGAAACAATTGGCAGGGGTACAACACTATGTGACCACAACCATCTACCCACCCATTAAGCCAAACAGCAGTGGGATATTTCACTGAGAAATCTATCTGCAAGCTGGCTTGTCTTTCAGTATGAAAACATTAAACTTTTATATAGTGGCAATTGGGCACAAGCAGATTTTTTGCCAGTTCTTTATTCAGGCTAAAACAGCAAATGTGCAACACTGTATACTGGGGGCTTGACACAAGATGCTAATTTGTCTTGTAACTTTTTAGAATATCATTAGCACAAATTTTGCAAATACAAACACATGATTAAACAGGAGTTAACCAAAACCTCTGACTTACGTTCAAATGTGTGATGATGAAGTTACTGTTTCTTGAACATACAAAGAGTAATACTGAACACAGCCATTCAGCTTATTGAGTCTGTGCTGGAAATAGGTTGTGTCAAACCATTTGTTACATAGCAACACAGCACAGTTAGAACATAGTGGAACAAAAATTACAGACTATTCTACATATGATAGTTCTCTCAGAGTGAAGTACTTGTCGTCATTTTCTTCTTGCATTGAAAGTTTAATATATATTCTCAATACCTACCAAACCACAGAGTGCATCAGTCATTCAGTTCTTAAGAGATGTTTGTGCTAAACATAAAAGCAGATCAGGTGCAGTGTGCAGGAAGTCAGGATCACCATGAAATGAACGGGGAGGGATAATCAGATCTACCACATAATATCTTGGAATTGCTCAAAATTGACAGCTACAGAGCCAAAAAAAAAAAGTTTTTTGTAAATTTTTTTGAGCTTCAAGTGACTGTAGCTTTTACAGAGCCAATCTCATGGTGGGTGTTGAATAGAGTGCCACAGCAGGGCAGCGAATAGACTTCACGATGAACCAAGTAGTGTAGCATGGGGCACGTGTCTGTCAGTAAAGGTGACAGTGACTTTCTGTTCCAGACATACACAGACATCAACACAATCGATTTCCTGTAACCATATGGTCGCACTTGATTCAGAGGTAGTAGGAACTGCAGATGCTGGAGAATCTGAGATAACAAGGTGTAGGGCTGGATGAACACAGTAGGCCAAGCAGCATCAGAGGAGCAGGAAGGCTGACATTTCGGGTCTAAACCCTTCTTCTGCAGGAAGGTTGACGTTTCGGGCCTAGACGCATGCTGCTTGGCCTGCTGTGTTCATCCAGCTCTACACCTTGGTCGCACTTGATACTCTGCTTTCAGAATGAATTTTTACTGTCTGTCTCACAATTGAAGTGTATTAGATTGTATGAAGATACTGTCCTTGAGTAGTACACACATACTATGCCAAGGCCTTGCCAAGGAAAGTCTCATTCACTTAATGCAAGTACACTTCTAATGCCTGTTAATTAATGCCAGTCAGCTTCTCTAACACCGAAAAGTAACTGTTACAAGCGTGAAGTCTCATTCTTGTAGGTTAATCTGTCTGGCAGAGCATAATGTTTCAAATTATTTTTCTGGTGTCTTTTTTTGAATCTCTTAATCCAAACAGCCATTTGCTTTTTATTTACCTTTCTGTACGTCGTTTGGCATTAAATTTACCCACTCTAATTTATACTACTTGAGCTACTAACTTCACGATCTCTCAATCTGAGAAGTTACAGTTTCTTGCCCTTCAGGTGTCAGATGCCTGCCTCCCCTCACTGTGACAATATCAGATTCCACTTTTGAGCTAACCATCACAAAATATTGTGATGAAAGGGGCAAGGATAAGTCTGAAAAAAGTAGGTACAATCTGCAAAAAAAAAAAACACAAAATGCTGGAGGAACTCATCTAATCAGGCAGCATCTGTGGAGAGAGAGACAGAATTCACATCTTGAGTCCAGTATGACACTTCAGAAGATTCTTAGGGCGCTCAACAGGGTCGATGCAGAAAGATTTATCTGCCTGTGGGAGAGTCTCGGACCAGAGGACAAAATCTCAAAGAGAGGGATTGTCCATTTAAGTCGGAGGACAATGAATCTGTGGACTTCTTTACTGCAGAGAGCTGTAGATGCTGGATCATTAAGTGTATTCAAGGCTGAGAGAGAGATTTTTAATCAGTAAGAGAGAGTCAAGGGCTATGGCAAAAAGGCAGGAAAGTGGAGGTGAGGACTATCTCATCAACCATGATCTCAATGAACGGCAGAGTGGGCTTGATGGGTGGAATGGTCTACTTCTGTTCCTATGTCTTGTTGGCTTATAGTCTTCTGTCCGTGAGCTCAATCACTGAATGGTTACAGCACGGAAGGATCACTAGTCTTGTCATGTCTGTACCAGGTTTCTGAAGAATTAATTCACCTTGTGTCATTCAGAGTCAGACAGTCAGAGCTGTACAGCATGGAAACAGACCCTTCCGTCCAACTTGTCAATGCCAACCAGATATTCTAAATTAATCTAATTCCATTTGCCAGCATTTGGCCCATATCTCGCCAAACCCTTCCAGACCCCTTTTAATTGTACCAGCCTCCACCATTTCCTCTGGCAGCTCATTCCATACACGCACCACCCTCTGTATGAAAAAGTTGCCCCTTAGGTCCCTTTTAAAATCTTTCCCCTCTCACCTTAAACCTCTGCCTTCTAGTTTTGGGCTCCCCTACCCTGGGGAAAAGACCTTGGCTATTCACCCTATCCATCCCCTCAATTTTATAAACCTCTAAGATCATCCCTCAGCTTCCGATGCTCCAGGGAAATTAGCCCCAGCCTATTCAGCCTCTCCCTATAACTCAAACCATCCAACCCTGGCAACATCCTTGTAAACATTTTCTGAACCCTTTCAAGTTTCAGAATATCCCTCCCATAACAAGGAGACCAGAATTGCATGCAGTAGTCCAAAGGTGGCCTAACCAATATCCTGTACAGCCTGAAAAAGACCTCCCAACTCCTATACTCAATGCACCCTGACCAATAAAGGTCAGCATATCAAACACCTTCTTCACTATCCTCTCTACTTGCAACTTCACTTTCAAGGAACTATGAACCTGCACTCCAAGGTTGCTTTGTTTAGCAACACTCCCCAGGACCTTACCATAAAAAGTGTATCTGTCCTGCCCTGATTTGCCTTTCCAAAATGCAGCACCTCATATTTATCTAAATTAAACTTCATCTATCACGCCTCGGCCCATTGGCCCATCTGATCAAGGTCTCATTATACTCTAAGATAACTTTCTTCACTGTCCACTGCACCACCAATTTTGGTGTCATCTGCAAACTTACTAACAACACCTCATGTTCACATCCAAATCATTTATACAAATGACAAAAATCAGTGGACCCAGCACCAACCCTTGTGACACACTGATGGTCTCAGGCCTCCAGTCTGAAAAGCAACCCTCCACCACCACCCTCTGTCTTCTACCTCGGAGTTAGTTCTGTATCCAAATGGCTAATTCTTCCTGTACTCCATGTGATCTAACCTTGCTAACCAGTCTACCACGAGGAACCTTGTCGAACACCTTACTGAAGTCCACAGAGATCACATCCACCACTCTGCCCTTATCAATCCTCTTCATCACTTCTTCAAAGAAAAAACTCATTCAATCAAGTTAGCGAGACACGATTTCCCACATGTAAAGCCATGTTGACTATCCCTAATCAATCCTTGCCTTTCCAAATACATGTAAATCCTGTCCCTCAGGATTCCCTCCAACAACATGCCAACTACCGATGTCACAATCACCAGTCTATAGTTCCCTGACTTTTCCTTAC